TTCAATTAATTCTAAACGTTCTAATTAATTTCTAAATAATTATATAAAAAATAATCTTACCTGCCCTGTTTTGTGAATTAGATGTGCCTAATACTATGAAAGTAAATTAATATGTGTTGACTAGATCTAGTGCTGTCTAGTGTCTGACAAAATGTGCTGAAGTGGTGAATCGTACGGTTAGGAAGTAGTTCATAAACGATACATTGATCTACTCGATACTTGTGAGGTTGAGAAAGAGGGATGGGATAGGGGTCGGCTCGGGAAAAAAACTTGAAAGGGACAACAAAACGCCTTGATCTATGTACGTCAGCATCGCCCATTGTAAAACTTACTCAGGGGAGATAATTTGAAGTATAGGCCTTAAAAGTTTACTGTATTTCTTGTAAAATCAAAAACAAGTAAACGTATATAAAACTGAAGTTTCTAGTATTATATTATTTTTTTTTTAAATTATTTGTACGATACAAGATGGTACAGGATACAAATTCAACCACTATCACAAACACATATTAACATTGAAAAATGTACAATGGATTTCGGGTCCCCTACCAATGCCGCAAGTAAGCACCGCGCATCATGAAAGTATTGAAAACCCACTTCATATGTAGCGGCTTTTCGTGCTATGGACTTTGTTGTTTTTTTAAAAAGAATTTTGCCGGCGACAGCGTGTGTTTGATTGTAGGGAAATAGAACTCGGCCTTGACGATGGTTAAAAAATACAACTATAAATTAATCTGTTTTAAATATGTAAAGAATTTGTCGACAATTTTTTAACCCCCTTTTTGGTCCCCATCCCCTGCCCCATCTGCCACAGTATACTTTGGAGGATCGGTCAAACAGTTACGTGTCCTCTATTTAGCTATCAAAGGGAGGGGGGGGGGGGGCAACGAGTCAAAGAAGTCATTCAAAATTTGAAGAGTTGCCTATATTTTACACTGTAGTTTGTGTAATGGATTTTATCTTATGCGGAAGAGCGTGGTATAGTGACTGTAAAATAAAGATAATCGTACCGCAGCTACAGTGTTTTTCTTTTACAAACCAAATATTAAGGCAAAAATTAAATTCAAAATTAAAAAAAAATAATTTTGGTCAGCCGTGGGCCCCTAAACGGCCTTCCCCCCCCCCCCCCCCCCGCGCATTGCGGGGTCTGGCGGGACTGTAGTTCCGCCCCTATTCATCAGGTAAATGAACAACTACTGACTAGTGTCTTTAACAAAATGTGCAGAAGTGGTTAGTTTACAGTACATAGACGGTTCGTTAATCTATGCATTACATCTTATTGTAAGAGTAAGGGTGTGGTGGGGGGTAGAAGTGAGGGGTAGGGGGAGGGGGGGGGGGGGAGAGAGTTGGGAAGGGAAGGGGACAAGAAAGCGCCGATAAACATCTACATCAATAGTGCCGACTTTTTCTGATAGTGTAGAAGACCAGGATAGTCGCCTCGCCGCAACATTTCCCCAGCCCGATTTCAAAGCGTACCGGCATAGTCAAATTTCAGATGCTTCGTCTTTGAAGTTGTCTATACGTCTGGCGGTCTCTCGAGCTATAGTCAGTGCATTTTTCTCAAAGACGTTTGCCGACTATCGTGTTTGTTTGTAACTGTAGAAGAAAGATAACTCGACCTCCACCTAATTTTTTTTTTTTTTTTATAATTAATTTAGCCAGGATTTTTGGGCCCCTAATTGGTCTGGGCCCCCCCGCATTGCGGGGTCTGGCGGCACTGTAGTTCCGCCCCTGCCTCAAGCGATGTGGACTCGTGGCCTTCCAACCGACTCGCTGGATCCAAACTCGGGACTTTCGATCTTGCATCAGCAAAGCAGTCTTGGTCTTATAAGATGTCCCTCATATTGAGGGAGCCAAAAATTTTAAAAAGTTACTATTAGAGGTCTTATACAAATGATAAAGGTTTAACTTGTACGAATATTTTTTAAATCAATGCTAATGTTATTAGATTTGTATACTTTATATCTTTTTAGTAGCCAGTTTTGTTATCATATTTTTTTGATAAGTTCTAATATTTACTATACATGTTTAATTAAATATTTGGTATAGCTACATTTTCTCCATTGTATTGTATTTCTTATGCGGGTATTTGTTATTTTTTTGTTTCTTTAGCATATTGACTATAAGTTGCATCCCTTTACTAGTTTTAAAACGGGAGATAATCCATTGGCACTTAATTTTACGACAATAATAATATCAAACTAACCTCTTTCTTTTAATGGTCATATTTTTAAAAAAAGTACAATTTCAAATTTAAATTTAAATGTGGGCAACAAAGTATTTTTAATTTTTAATAAGTAATTGTTATTTATAACATGTTCATACGCAATGCAAATCATTTCATATTCCCATATGTCGAGGTCACAAAAATAGGCCTATCTGTGTTGCACACTTCTCCTTTTCAGTATCATTTGGACTTTCTTTGTGGGTTCCTTTTGTTAGTATAGTATAGTATGGTAACTCTCTTTGACATTCAATTAGATGGTTGAGAAGTTGAATCCTGACTACTGATACCAGTGTTCACATCACAAAATCAAGTTTCCATAGCATAACTATAGAACGTTGTCTCCGTTGTATGGCAGTGGCGTAGCCAGGATCGTCTCAAGGGGGGGGGGGGGTTCCAATTTTTACCCGGGGACAAACTTTCGAATTGCACCCTCCCCTCAAACTTTCGATTTGCACCCCCCTCAAACTTTCGGTCTATTTAACTCACTTCCTCGTCATTCTGTCTGTCGTCAGTCTAGATTGAAACGCAGGAGTGAAAATTCGGACAGTTCTACTTGACCGATACGATTCACAGTTGGCACGTGGGTCAAGACATGAAGACAATGCAATCTGAAACTAAATTTGACTTAATTGGATGCCTAATTAATTTTTTATGAATTAATTCAAATTTGGACCGAATCAATAGGCATGTCTATTCAACCACACCACACGCGTCATCACGTTCAAAAGCTGAAAAAATAAATAATACACTACTATTTAAATTACTATAAAGAAAAGCATGGGTCTCTTCTCAAATATTAGTAAAGGTATCCAATAGGTACTAAAGTACTAAAGTGACCCACGCTTTTCTTTATAGTAATTTAAATAGTAGTGTATAATTTATTTTCTACTTTTTAGTGCATTAGTAATAAAAGCTTGTTATTAAAACGTTTTTTAATGAATTTTATTTTTTAAGTAATTTATAAAACAATTTTTGTGCAACTAAAGGTCGTCTAAACTTGCGAATGATTTGCTCAGTTTAAAATTAATACGTCACATGGCGCCGTTTTAAAATTGTGAATATAATGTTCGTACATTTTTGCCTTGATATTTGGATTGTAAACTAATGATGTAACTGCGGTACCAGTGGCGGAACTAGAAAAAAAGGACCACCCCGCAAAAAAAAATTTGGGGTCCCCCCATATATATATATATATATATATATATATATATATATATATATATATATATATATATATATATATATATATATATATATATATATATATATATATATATATATATATGGGGGGGCCAAATTAAACACATTTAGAATAAAGGTAAGAACAACTCCCTGCACTCCATTTACATTTAACAGCAAGTGTGGACCGTCCCCTAAGCAGACAGTTTTAGGAAAGAAATAGCAGCTGACATTTATAATAGGAATGTTTAAAGAAAAATAAACAACCGTTTTGTAACAGTACAGCTAGCAGTATACACAATTAAAAAAACATTTTAAAAGTTAGTCAAATATAATTTATTAAACTTTGCAATCTTTGCAATTACAAAAGTATAATTACTGTTAGTTTCATTTTAAAACAACATAAAAATAAAATGTATTATACAAAACAATGAAAATTGGAATAAAACAAATATATTTAGTTTAGCTAAAAGAAAGATGCACAAAGAAACAAAGGTTAATGTACAAACTAGAGTAAACATCCAATTTTAAATCTCTTCAAATTGGAAAATGTTGCTGAACTTAAAAAAAAGTTCATCAAAATTTTGTTTTTAAGCATAATCAACTTCATTTAAAAAATTTCAAGTGTACATTTTATTTTAAGCAATTAATGCACATCAACTTACATAAAAAATATTCTCTAACACTTTGTATAATTTTTTAATAAAAAAGTATGCGGGTTGGTAAACTTTTATTAAGTTTGCAATAAAAAAACAATTTAATTTTAATTTTGCAATGATTGATATTTGCGTACATTTGTATTGTTAAATAAGTGATGTTTGCAAAATAAAAAAAAAAAATAAAAAATCAGACATAATTCGTTAAAAGCTTTTAGAAAATCAAATAAAATTGAAATCTTTTCACTTTTCAAGATCTTACTTACACATGACATTCCTTATATAAGGCATCGCCACAAAAAATATTACGACAAGCAGTCTAAAGTTTGAATAAAAACTACAACATCGTCTTTCCCTGAGAACGTTTACATACAACTACACATAATTATGAAATGTATGTACATATATCAGTACTTCACATACAATTTCAAGTAATAAGTATCTTTATTATCAGCACACATTCCACTGATTTCATTCAAAAGTTGTATGTACATATAATCTTTATGTGGTTCTTTTATATCGATGTTAAACAGAACATACCCATACATTTGCTTTAACACTGTTTTAATTATATATGTGCATACAACTGATCCCACATATACATGACTGAGTTATTACACAAAGTGTGTACACACATACAAGTCAGTACAATGAAAGACAAGCCAGTTGAATGTAATTAATAAATTAACTAATTGATTCTAGTCACACCACATATTAACAAATAAAAATCTTAATAAAATCCATAAAAATGTCCTTTATTTTCATGTCTTTTATTTAAACTTCTAAAATAGTTTTACAATCAACAATTAAAATATTTGTGTTATACACAATTCGGAATAAATGGTTTAGAATTATTTCAACTGTACTTAAATTCCTATATTGAAATCAAATGTAGTTGATCATAGATTTTTTCCTATCTTTTAGTGTTTTAATTTTTTTTCAGCAGTTTGTAAATACTAAACGTATTTTTTTTTAAACTCATTGAAAAATTTACATTTGTAACCTTCTATATAATATTAATCGTCTTGAGTATTGGATTAAAAATAAATTTAAAAAGTATCAAGGATAAAAAGCTATATGAAATTGAACAGTTTTTTTCTTTACTGCAGTTTTTGAAAAACGAAATATATTTTTTTCTATTTTTTTCTTTGCTAAGAATAATGTTGTAAGACACAATAAGGCACCTTATTTCACAGGCAGATACATTTTAGCAGTAGTTTTTAAAAAATCACTTAAATCCTTCTATTTTTTCTGTAAAATGTACCATAAATAAAAAGAGATCAAAATGGATGTTTTTTAGAATAAAATCTCTTGACATCACACTCTCTTGGGTATAAGAAATAATAAACATTATCTAGAATACAAAGCTAAACAAACTTTTCAGTCCACGTTTTAAGAACGAACCTTAAACAACTTTTTTTTATATATTATAGAAGTAATAGTACTATTTTTTTGAGCACATAAAGGACTTCTTACGTAAAATAAACCAGAGTTCTGTTTCCAAATTTTAATGTTATTATTAGTTGTCTAACTATTTTTTTCTGTTATATTTGTTGTTATATGCTTTTATTTTCTGAAATGAAAATTGTATGCGTTTTTAAATAAATACTGTTTCTAAAATAAACAATTTTTACAGCATTTGTTCCTTCATTGAAACCCTCTTTGTTTTACAGCTTTGTACTGACAATATCCAAATCATAATTAAAACTTGTGTTGTAGTATCCCAGTCCGCCACTACTGACCATCCCATCGACCGTTGGTAGCTGGACATAGCAGTCTGCGCTGTTGGGATAACTGCCTGTCTGCCCGTTGGGTCTGGTGGGGCTGTCCACCTCGACGGTGCACGTACCGACCGTGTTGCACTCAACTTCCGGTTTAGGAGGCGGGATCTGGTGTTGAAGAGAAAGGGAAAAAAAATATCTAAATAAACTTTCCGTTGATGGTTTGTGATGTTTGGATGTATAATATAATATGGGCAGTGCCGGACTTCTGTCTATGGAAGCTGGGCTGCTGCTTAGGGGCTTCAACCAGATAGAGGTTTTAGAGTTATATTTGGTTTTTAAAACCTGGAAGATTTTTAAATAAACGAATACGTGTGAAGTTGCCAAAAAAAAATCATAAACTGCCAATGCTGAAGATATTGAATTTTAGATCTTCAAATTAATAGAAAAAGTAACTTTTTTGGATATTCACAAGAGACATCTCAGCAACTGCTTTTAATCCACGCCCTCTTCTTCACTTCACATTCACAGAAAAAAAAAAAAAAAAAAAAAAAAAAAAAAACAACAACATTTAAATATAATTTCCATTAGCTCATACTCGTATCATATTTTCTTTTTGAATAATTAACTGAAAACAGAAGACCAGGGCTAAACATACTTTTTACAAACTTCTTGCTTTACTGCCCCTGTCGGTGTCTTAAATTACTGCCTTTTAAACCGATTTATCATGAACTGGCGCCCCTGGCGCACGTCTCCAAAATCATTGCCCTTTAGAACAGCTACTGTGCACTAACTTAAATAATTTGTTACATATTGGTTGTCTAAACTATCATAGAGTAGAGTTGTCTCTCCTAGCCTTAATCAAACGATGCATATTATTGGTTTTTTTTTTCAAATTATCATTTTGTTTTCTAATGCATGGCAAGCAATCCAATAAAAAACGTCGAATTATTGATTGGAATAGTTGAAATATGGAGCCGAATAAGAAGTCTTTAATTTTAATAGTAGGGCATATAGTGTTGTATTAAAAAAAAATTACTCCAGCCGAAAATGTTTAAAAAAGTATTCTAATTTAAAAAAAAAACAACATTTTTTTATTTTCTTGTTTGTTTAAATTTATTTTCCTGTTGTTTAATTTTAAATTTATGTTTCTTGATTCTTCAATTTTACATCGAGCCGTTTAAAAGAGCAAGCTTTTAGATACTAGATCTAATAGCTCAATGCAGAATTCAAAATAATGTAGTGACGATTCCAATAGGCATTTTTGTGTGTGAGGATAACATATAAGGTACGACCACGACCAAAAATCTAATAATTATTTATTGTATGTGTTAAACATCAGGATACACAGAAATATACACCACTGATTATAGCAGAGTCGCTTACACAAGCATTATGTGTCTTTTTCTTTGTTCTTAATAGGGCTGGTAAGTAGGTCACCAACCAGTTCTATGGCTCATGTAGGTTTTATTGAGCCGTAGAGATGGTTAGTGACCTACTTACCATCCCTATTGTAATGTTGGACGGGATTTCCGCCAACGCAGTTAGTTAAGTATTGTGTCGATGTTTTATAAGCCAAATAGGTAGTTTACTCAAATTTCAGCTAGCTTTTCTTTCTGGATTTGCTTCCATAGCCTTAGTCCATCCAAGAATATACTACAAGGCAGCAGTTTCTTCGTCCAATAACAAACAAAGGAGTTTTCTGGTTGCCGTCCCCAGTTACTGAGCCTCATCTTCCTGGGGTTCGAACTCGGAACTTTTCTGGTTAAGCAACCATAAGCTTTACCGACCCGACGAAGCCGTCCCCTTTATGTGCCTATATAAGTATGTAGACATACATACACAAATCTATCTTTATCTCCATATGATATACATCACAGATTCCAAATTTTTGCGACCAGTGGCGTAGCCAGGATCGTCTCAAGGGGGGGGGGGGTCCAATTTTTACCCGGGGACAAACTTTCGATTTGCACCCCCCCCCCCCCCTCAAACTTTCGATTTGCACCCCCCTCAAACTTTCGATTTGCACCCCCTCATACTCTTTCTATATACCGAGGGGTCTATGGGGGGGGGGGGGGGGGTTATGACCCCCCCTAACCCCCCCCCCCCCCTACCTACGCCACTGTTTGCGACCCTTTTTTATGAAAGCCAAGGTGCCCGCGACCCACATACAATTTAAAAAAGGCATTTTAATTGAAGTAATTAAAAAATTACGAAACATTTTTTAAAAATTATTTTATTTTAAACAATGTTTGTCATTAATTTAATGATTTATAATTCCTCGGAAACGCTGGCTACATCAAGGAAGAAATGAATAAGTTTTCGTGTCAAAGTAGTTAATATTTCTTTTAGGTCAAGAAAGTCTTTCAGTGGTTCATTTCCAATCGATTCGAGATGTCCACTAATCACATCTCCCAAATTTTCATTTATTTACCTTTAGATACATCTACCACACTGCAGAAATTCCCAATATATTGTTTCCCAGATGTGTTTGCCACTAATGCAGCTTGGATTAAAATATGAGATGATTCTGAAATGCGGTAATATCCGTTTCCATTCCCTGCCGGTTAAACCTATTTTGCGTTTTTAATATATTTTCGAGATATACGACTCTTTTCAGTCAAGCTATGTCGTCAAAGTGTATCATGTAAAGATAGTTTCCCTTACATGCCAAGAAAACTGGATTTCATCAATCAATTCAAAGACACAATTCACAACACCTCCTTATACCAGCCAGCGTACTGCGGTGTTGAAAAGAAGAACTCCGTGATAAGAATTAATGTCTTTGTACAGTATTTTTAAACAAATGTGTGTTAAGAACTCAAGATTTGATGAAGTTTTATCAGCGAATCAAATATCTCTTACAGAGAAGTTTAAAGGACGTACGGGTTGATTGTACAGTGGATTCCCATGGCAAGGAGCAGTAGCGTACGCAGGGGGGGGGGGGAGCAGGGGGAGCGGCCGCTCCCCCTCTGGCCATTTTCAGCAAAGTGGCGCCTTTTTGGAAACTTTTTAAACTCACAGTTTTAAACAATGATATTTGTTAAAAAATATTTTTGGTCGGCACATCTATGTAAATCACAAGATTTCTTTTCATGCAGCAATTAAGCATTATTGTACTAGTCTAGTAGTGTCTACGTTTACAGCACGTATTAACAGCTGCATCAGTTCGCCATTCTAAAAATAACCATTACGATGCATTGCAATGTTCAAAAAACCTCTACGGTAGTACCACTTGGCAAAAGGGGTGTTAAGTTTAAGGCAACTGTATAATGTATTTGGTTACGAATAATTGAATTAGAAAATGTTATACATAAAACTTCACACATAATTACTTTATATATACAGTTTGAATCGTGTGATTAATTAAAAGAACAATTACATTCAGAAACAGTTTGGGCGATAGTGATTACGATTACAAATTATATGAAACAGTTACAACCCCCCCCCCCCTCCCCCATGGACCAATCTGTAAAAAAATATTGTCATAATACCACTGCTACTTATTTAAATCTATTTCTGTAATATATATTTGTGTAATATATATTTGTGTAATATATATGTATGTTTAGAACAGTCATCTAAAACTGACGCTATGTTCACTCTGAGTTGGTTATCTCTCCCCCCCCACCCCTACCCCACACCTCACCGCCGCAATTGTTAGAGCGACATTAATGTCACACTTAGGTATACACTGGGTTGGATAATTGACCTACAGTGAACGGACAGTGGTGAATGAAGCTGAACCCATCCCCCCCCCCCCCCAACCCACCCCGAACTGATCTGTTAAATACATGTAGAGAACGCGTAATGATGTACCATAGTACCATAAAAGTAAAAGTTTCCCTTTCAAACCTGACGGTCTATGGGGCAAGTGAAGTAGATTTCACTTGTTTCTGTGACCTCGGAATATGAAGAAATAGTGTGGTCAGCACTATGCCCAGCCGCCTTTACTCTCCCTAACGTGAGTTAGGTACCCATCAGAGTTGGGTGGACTCAGGGACGGTCTACTGGCTTGAACCCGGATTCGAACTCGAGACTTACGGGTTAGCAGTCCAGCTCTCTACCGCTAGACCACTCCGTCCCATAACAGAAAATTAGCTTTTTAAACGTAAAACTCTGTAAATATTGTTTTTGAAATAAACAGTAAAAAGGTGTGTAATCAATACAGTGATCTAACCCATACCTATCACTATGTTAAAAAAAATGATCTTTAAAGAACACAAAGAAGCAGTAGTTAATTAAAATATATATGAACTGAACTGAAAGACCGATATTTAGTTATATGTAGGCTGTTATTCCGAACGTTTTTCTATTACATATCGAAAAGCGTGCTTTTATACCAACTCTGATTTTAAAAACTTTAATTATGCTGTAATAGTTTACCATTTATGATGACGATATATTGAATTCTCATTACAGACAAAAACATTTTGTAAACACGAATAGTCTTAAACAATTTCATTATATTCTAAAGTAATTATTTATTTGTTTTGAAATTTATAATTAAATGTGTAGATATATACATATTTATATTAAGAGAGTGATTATTTGCCCTATTTCCCTTGTCTTAAATAATTTCCCAGGAATTATTATGTAAGAAATTTTGTTTACAAGAATTACAAAACAGATTGTGTTACGTTCATTGTTTTTGGTTGTAGTATATATATATATATATATATATATATATATATATATATATATATATATATATATATATATATATATATATATATATATATATATATATATTGTTTAGATTGATACAATTTTTGTTTTGTCGGCCAACATTATGTGTTTTTTCTTATATCTTCAGAGTGCTACTTTCAATTTATTTTACATCATAGAGAATTAATGACATACAGCTATATATATATATATATATATATATATATATATATATATATATATATATATATATATATATATATATATATATATATATATATATATAATACACTTATATAGAACGTGTTAAAAATTCGGCGCCTTTTTTTGCTCTTTTCGCTCCCCCTACAACGAAAACCTGGATACGCCTCTGGCAAGGAGAGACTGCTCTTTTGTTTATTTCTGAAAGAATTTTCCACTTTCGTCCCCCAGTCTCAAGGAACTATTTATCCTTCCCATAATATCAATCTCACCAAGTATTTTCAACTTGTAGTTTGAAGTCCACTACACAATAATATTTCCTCTTTAATACCACATAAAGAACATGTTTCACAAAGACAGTGTATTGACAATATGGGCTTACGTCTATTGTGTCAACAACTATTTTAACTTTAACGGACGTGTCTACTTTATGCCGTTGAATAATATTATTAGAGAAATATGTTGTATGTAATTGGACATTTGTAGGTTAGATTACAGTATGTCAGAATAGGGGATAGTATGTGTGTGATTTGAGTTAACCCCTGGATGTTTATGTGTTATTATCCTAAGGTCAAATGCGGTATAAAAACAGGAGTTTGTTCGGGGAATTGTTAGTAGCGACTAGTGAGTAGGTTACGTTGATTTATAAATAAAGTTGATCTGAATAAACTGCTTGAACTGCGTAGCTTTTATGGATTTGAATGAAAGTAGGTTGCAACATTGTATTTCCACTGCTATCCCCAATAATTAATTTCACATGAAGAGTTTGATGCGATCTTCTCCAACTGTGTGAGGATTTTCTTTCTTTCTGCTGGACAATTTACAATGCGACTTTTTAAAATGCTGGCGCTAATGTTTTACTCCGATGTTGAAAACTCTTTGATCAAGTCTCTGACGTTTAAAATTAGTTTCGTGTCAATACTACGTGGCGTTTGAGGTTTGAAGATTCCAATGACTTGATTACAACATTGCTCAATAAGTTTATCTATTCCATTGCCAACCAAGTTAGTAAAACAACATTATTTACTGTGTAATTTGACGAACCCTAAGAAAAACCGAGGCGATCCTCTTGGGAGTCGTGACCAGAGTTTCTCTCTGACATCTCTCATACTAGTCCCTCCCGTCTCACATAAGAAAGTTAACAAAATGCTATATTTTATATTGGAAATATATAGATAATATATAGATCTACTTTGATTAGTGAGTAAATTTAACAAAGGTAAAACACATTTTTTATCAATTTATCAATGTTCACCAGTTCACCTAATATGCTAGTTAGTAAAGTTATTAGTGTCCTATTTAAACGATTCAAATCATTATAAAATTTAAGATATATAAGGAATAGACAACATTTGTATGGTAGTTTTTACATACACTTTTACTAAAAAAATAAACAACTATTTTCAGCTTTATTTTCTTTAAATACTGATTCACTCAGTATTTAAAGAATTTTGAGAAAAAGCGGCAGGTTTTTAATCCCTTGGCTATTCTGAAAATATTATATTCAAATATTTATATTATCTAATATAGTATTTAATATAAAACAACAATGTCAGTTTTTGAACATTGCAATGTATCTAACCCTACACCTATAACGGGGGTTAAATTGGTCTGCTTCTGAGGAAGCGATGCATATATATATATATATATATATATATATATATATATATATATATATATATATATATATATATATATATATATATATATGCATATATATTTTTGTGCATGTATTGTATTGCAAGCATTTTGAAACACCATCATTATTTATTAACTTGGTATTTTATCCAACAACAAAAAACAAAAACGATGCAAGTTCTAAAACAGGACATAATCTGTGGTCGCCATCAGTTTTTCTTTCTTTACAAAACTATGCTTGGTTTTTGATGTGATCGGGTTTTTTTAAAAAACAAACTCAGACGAAGGCCTAAGGTTGAAGCATCATTCAATTGTGGTTAGTTGAGTTGAGTTAACCCCAAGTGTTTATGTATTGTTTTCCCTAGGTCCTCGAGTCAGCTCTAATAACAAACTGTGTTGTGTTTTACACATATTGAAACAACAGTAAAACACATTATCCCTTTGACTCCACCCCCTTCCCAATCCATGACTAAGATCTTGAAAATTGGTAGGGTGGGGGTGGGGGAGCATTGTGAACGCAAATCTAAAATTAAACATACACAAGCAATTTCATAAAATAATTTTTCTCTACTTCTGCCCAAGTCTTACACATTTAAAATGGCTTAGCATCGTTAATATTTTTCTACACCCCTCCCCCGCCACCCCAACCCTTTTCGTCAATCCAAAGCAACTTTGTATTGATAATCTCCTAATAAAATCACCCTACCCTGTGGACAAAGTTTGGGTAGAAGCAAGAGTCTACTTACAGGTGGGAACAGGTGAGAGAAGTAGTGGTCAAGTATTCCGGCACCTATAGCATCACCCCACACGTTCACAGAAGTACGGAAGCGATCACTGAAATATGAAACAAAATTAGATTTTAACGAGGTATTTAAGAAAGCATTAGATTTTAGCGAGGCATTTAAGAAAGCATTAGAGTTTAGCGAGGAAATTGAGTCATTCTTTTCTTACTATACACTCAAAACTGTATGTTCTATCCATAAGCCTTTTGTTAAAAAAATATGTAGCCCCTACTTATGATTGTTTTTCGTATTGACGAGTAAATAAAGTGCCCTTTTAAACCGTACAGATCAAATGTGTTTCAGTGACCTCGTCGTATCTAGGTATAGTGTGGTCAGCACTTTGACCTGCCGCCTTGTGTAAGGTACACATCAGAGCTTGATGTGGGTGAACACTGTGACGTCATACGGACTCGAAACCGGGGTCCGAACTTGAGACTTTCAAGTTAGCACTCGAACGCTCTAATAATCGACCACGTTGTCCCGTTATTAATGGGTATTGAAGTATATCTAATTTAGCCAGGGTGGAAACTAATTAAAAACGCCTTTTAATGTATAGAGCAGAAGGCAGCACTGGCGGAAAAAAGAAAGGTTCGGTTTAATCTAAGACTTACATGATCCAATCAATGGAGACAATTAGAGCCACGTCATCAGTGGGCAGACCTACAGCAGCCAGGACAGTGACGATGGTGACGAGACTAGCCTGCGGTAGGCTGACAGATCCAACTGACGCTACTATGGAAACCAAGCTGTAAAAAGGGAAATAATTGGTTAAATAAGGGAAATAACTCGTTAAATTATGGAAGCGATTTCATCCGAAGGTAACTTTTCTTTATGAAAACAAATACTTTTTTAAACCACAAATATGATATTTTAGAAACTAAGTTGATCAATGACAAATAAAAATATTTTTTGTAATATTTTTCTAAACTAATAAAATGTAAGTAATAATACTGTAAATTAGTTGCTGCTCTGCTTATTTAGACATAATATGTGTTCTGTGACTCATCTTCACGTAATTTATTTTGGAAGGGGTGGAGGAGATAAAAGATTTTCGATGTTAGGACAGAGAGTATTTTGTCTAATAACAAGCTGAGGCGTCTGAACAAATGACTAATTACTAAACACAAAAAAATACAACAGTTTAATATAACTTAATCAACACAAATATACTTGAAATAGGGGCGGGGGTGTGGAGGGGGTGTGGAAGGAAGAATGATTGCATAGATCGACAATACTGGCTACCTTAAATGCAAGCTTGATTCCAGTTTCTTCCAAGCATCTCTCCACCCCTTTCCCCCGAAGAAAGTCTACCGCCCCCCATACTTTTAACACTGTCCCTCCCCTCTCGGTACTCCGCCCCCGCCCCCCCCCCCCCCCCTTCTACGAAAATATCAAGTGTCCTCCCGGAGAAAAATGTCTGGAAGAAATACTGCTTGATTCCTGCGTATTGTATGATATTTCAACATAACTACATCAATACAGAGAGACTTGAAGCGAGAGGGAAGGGATTCTGAGATCGTTATGATGAGAACCATTACGACGCAAGTTTGATTTCTGCTAATTAGTTTGAGTAATTCTGAACCTACCTCCAATACGTGTAAAAAGTATATAACAGAAGCAGCTCTTAAGAAAACCACAACAAGTGTATGGAGCTTGATACAAAAACAAATTAGAAAACAAAAACCGATGTAAAGCAGGGGAACTCACCCAATGACAATGACGTCAGCCACGGTGAGATGGATGTTGTTGACTTGAGCGATGTAGATGCATGCCACCGTCTGGAACAACGCGGTGCCATCCAAATTTAGAGTTGCACCCACCGGCGCGAAAAATCTGGTAATGCGGATGTTGACTTTGTTCTTCATGATCAGGCTCTCTATTGTGATGGGGAGGGCACACGGGCTGTACAAATATAGAAGAAACAGTTCAAGTTCATGGAGCTTCTCATTACATTATTGAGCAAATAATACTCAGCGTAGTGTGTTTTCGTTGTTTAAGTACACAACATAATACTAAAGTAAGCGTAATAATCAAAGTATATATTACCAGATACTGTGTTGTTCATGTTTATAGCATAAACAATTACAGTAGGCAATATAAACCGTTACGGTATTATTCAAATATACAACATAACTAGTCAGAGATAGCATAAACAATTAAAGTAGGCAATATTAACGGTTACGGCATTATTAAAGTATACAACATAACTAGTTAGCATAGTTATCCAAGTGTACAATGGAATCATATAGAGAGTGAGTAAGAAAGATAAATAATAGGCGGTTCCCAGAAAAAAGCGCAAATGGACAGCTGCGCAACGGTTAAATGCGTAAACAGAAAATTGTGTATTATTTCGAGAAAATGTGTTTTGTTATGATACAATTTACGTTTAGCCACTCTTTGTTAATGAATATAAATGCTCGATTTAAAAAAAAACAAAATTGCCGTTGTGTACTTTTTTTAATGCGCTTTTTTGCGTAGCGCATCTTTTCGGTCACCATTAGTCAACCCTAAGCATGTATTTACATTGTTAAAGTCGAGTCGCACGTCACTGGCGAGGCATTTGGACTAATGATGATAAACTAAAATCCCCCTCCCCCTACTCCACTCCTTTGCGTGTTTGCTTTCCCCAAACACCCATGCAATAAAAAAAAAATTGTAATGTATAACACACATAATATAAAGTCTAGCACACTCACCTGGAACCAGACGACCACGCCACGGCTAACGCACGTGCCATGTTCCCAGCAAATGGGAGCGGGTTCTTGCGCGTGAAGATGTAGTACATGAGGGGCAGGATGAGCAGTGAGTGGATGGCCAGTCCGCCGAACACTATCCCGATGTACGGGCCGAGTTTAGCCAGGGCGCCGGGTAAATCCTTGGTCAAGACAAATTTTGTGGCGATCAGAAAGATGAAGCCTAAGGGTGTGAACCTGAGGAAATAAATACATTCATTGTTTCAATGTGTGAACTGATATATTTTAATTATAAAAAGTGATAGTTATAGGTAAGTGTGTAGTTGGTTATAGAGATCCGGTTTAATTGCCCAAACGTCATGTATATCAATTTAAAAAAAAAACTATTTAAAAACGTATTAGTGTCTTAACATAAAATAAAACACTTTTAAATTAAATAAATCTGCAAATTTATGCTAATCACTATTTTTCTTGTAGTATAGTCAAATTAGTTGAATTTTAACTCCTCGCACAATACTAGCATTGAGGTGAAAACAACACATTCAATACACATTCTAATTGAGCTATATGAATAATGCATTTCTTTTAAATTTACCATATAGCAATCTTGAGTAGAAACGCTGTGGCCAGATTGAGCGAGCGGAAGAAATCCTTCATCGGTTTCCCCTCCACACCGATGAAGTGCAGGGCGAACCCAAACACGATGGACAACACAAGGATTCCTAGGACGTTGGTGCCTCGGTCTGTCACAAGGTACGGCTTGGTCACGTCGTCTGGGGGGGGGGGGGAGGTAATGAGACACAGGTAAGACATGTAATACATTATTTAATGGAGCTTTATTGATTTAACTGCGTATCTGTTTCCTGATTTGATCTCCTCAAAAAACTGTATCATTAACACATCTTAAACACCGTTTTCTTCCGTGTCCATGTATATATATATATATATATATATATATATATATATATATATATATATATATATATATATATATATATATATATATATATATATATATATATATATCCGGGTTCAAGTCAATAGAACGTCCCTGAGTTCACCCAGCTCTGATGGGTACCTGTCTCATGTTACGGAAAAAAGGTCTGCTGGGCATACTGCTGAAGATCAGTGAAGCAGATGAACTCTACTTCATCTGATCCATATGTATTGGGCACGAAGGGGAATATATATATATATATATATATATATATATATATATATATATATATATATATATATATATATATATATATATATATATATATATATATATATATATATATATATATATATATATATATATATATATATATATATATATATATGTGTGTATATATCGCGGCTGTATATATAAATAAATAAATAAATAAATAAATAAATATATTTATATATATATATATATATATATATATATATATATATATATATATATATATATATATATATATATATATATATATATATTGGTATATTGTATTTTCTTGTATAAAAATGATTACACTAAGGCATTCTATACTCACAATAATGTGCTTGCAGAGTGGTATTTGTCTGATTATCTATCTTTGTGAAATTGTCATCCATAGTTAAATTGCTGAACGGAAAATAACTGTCATTCTTCATAGTGACGTAGGTATCTGTTCTAAACTTTGTTAATACCTGATAGTAAAATAAATGTATAAACTATAGGCCTACATTCTAGTAGAAACTTGTCATATTTATTTCATTTACCTATTCTATTTTAAATAAGTCGTTCTCTGTTGAGTACCTCATCTAAATTTGTGACATTTGTATATTTTATAATATTGTGCTCTGTTCTACACCAACTTTGTTCTCTTATTCACTATGTGAGAGGAAAGCAGAGATAGAGTATCTAAAGATCCACATATTTTATACTATTCCCGAGATTTCACTTATCAACTCGTATATTTCAGCCCTTGTTCGGCATCTTGCTTCTTCATTAGGTTTCACGCTAGGTAAATACAGCTTAATCTAAATTGTATTTGTATGCTTTTTACCTAATGATATTTTAAAATATTTTAATCGACTTGAATTTTCAAGTCTCTAGATAATTGAATATAGGAATGTAATTGAAAGTAATAAAAAATTTCTATTAATGTAGTAAAAAATGTTTTAAGAAATGTATTGTTTGCCACAATAGAATATAATGTAATAATGTATTCAAATAACTGTATAATAATTTAATAGATTTATTTTTAATATATAATAAATGTTAATATTAAATTTACCCTTTACAGTAGCCTACGTCGTTTTCATAATAACACAATATTTTGGAAGAAAAAATGTTTTTAATTTTAAACATTGTTACTTAAATGATGGTTACGTGGTTTAACTTCACAAAAGTAAAGAACAAGCACATTCGCACGAAAATAACATTTTGCGTGCGATGGTGTGAAATTTCTTTCTGAAATTTAAAGTAGTAACAAAATATTAGTTAGAATGTTGCGCGAGCACTATGTCGGTGAATGTCCTGCCTTAAGAATACGGTGGGACACCAAACCAGGGGACGAACCCGGCGCCCTTGCGATAGTGTAACTCAGGGGTCTCCAAACTACGGCCCGCGGGCCGAATGCGGCCCACGAGGTCATTTTATCCGGCCCGCGACGATCTTTTTGTCCAATGAATAAATATTTGTTGGAGGTGGCTGAGGAGCGCTGCACAGGAAATTCAAAACTATTTGAACATTTAGCTTTGTTTTCAAATACAATTACTTGCAGTGTTGCTGACATTGGTGAAAACATTGCGACTCAAATAGCGAAAAATTCAAGCAAGTTTCGCCATTTTTTAATTGTAATTGATGAGTCGCTGGGCAGCTGTTCCACCTCTCAACTGTTTGTGTTCATTAGAGGTGTGGATGAAGACATAATCATAACACAAGAGCTGGCTTCGCTACATATAATGTATGACACTGTTGCCGAAGAGGATATCTAACCATAGATAGTTCAGAGACAAACACAAAATCGCAAGATTTACCATATTTCACATCAGTAAGATTGCTAATTTTGCAAGAAAATTCTGAGCAGAGAAAAGAAATAGGTGACTTTCTGATAGTAAAGGCAAGTCACAGCCAATAATGTCTGATGAAGAGTGGGTATAGAAATTGGCCTCTGCTGCAGACATAACTAGTCATTTAAATTTTCTGAACCTAAAACGGCAAGAGATTGAAATCTAGTTTCTGATCTATACACCCACCTAAAGGCCTTTAGATACAAACTTGTCATGTTTTTGGAACAAGTACAGGCTAACAACTTGACACACTTTCAGCAGTGCAAGGTCTTTACGGCTGAAGCAACCACTGAGTTTCCCACGTCATTTGCATACGAGATAATTAAAGACCTCCAGCTGCAGTTTCAGTAGCTGTTTTCTGACTTGGATTCAAAGGCAGAAGAGGTGAGACTGTTTCAAAGCCCATTTGAAGCAAATGTGGCCAGTTGCAAAGATGAACTGCAGCTGGAGGTAATTGAATTGCAAGAAAATGACTTCCTTAGAGACACGTTCAAAGAAGGGCGGATGGGTTTTCATACGTTTTTGCACAAGGAAGAGTTTCTTAACATTAAAACTTGTGCATCAAAGTACCTTTCAAATTTTCGAACAACATGCTGTGTGAACAAACATTTTCAAGAATGAAATACGTGAAGAACAATTTGAGAACAAACTTGGACCTCGGGTGGGGGGGGGGGGGGAATTTATACAGATATTTATAGAAATATATACACATTTCATTCGTTGGGAGGGGGGGGGGGCACGACCCTGAAAAGAAGCCTTAAAGAAACTCTGGCCCCCGAACTAATATTTGATAGTTAATGCGGCCCTCGGGCTGAAAAGTTTGGAGACCCCTGGCCTACATTAATACTGAAATAATGAAAAACAAGTATGCATATATATATATATATATATATATATATATATATATATATATATATATATATATATATATATATATATATATATATATATATATATTGCGCTATAATTAAATTTTTATTTTGCTTTAAACTTACCCTTTCAACACACGCTGCAACTAAATTGTCTGGGAAATATTGTCTGTAGAAAAAAACAAAATCCTTTTATTATCTCTTATAAACTATATTTTACTATTTGCAAAACATTAGATTGTATGCAAATTATAGTGTATGCTTCGATATTATACAAGGACGGCGTGGTCGAGTTGCAAAGCATACGGCTACTAACCCGAGAGTCTCGAGTTCGGATCCTGCCAGGCTTGAGACTGCAGCACGTCCACTAACTCAACCCAGCTGTGATGGTTAAGACCCAAGTAGGGGTATAATGATGACCAATCCATTTGTTGGTTGAAGTCATTGAAACAGATGAATTTTAATTTATCTGCTCGGTCACGAATGTGAAAAGATGGTACATACAATTTCTAGTACACCTTCAAGGTTCCTTTTTATTTGTTATGTCCCTTTATTAAAGTTAGCATACCAATTCATATTTTAGAACAGGGGTCTCCAAACTACGGCCCGCGGAGATCTTTTTGTCCACGGATAAAATGTTTATTAGAGGTGGCTGAGGAACTTTGCCCAGAAAAATTCAAAACAATTTAAAATTGTAGTTTTGTGTGCAAATACATTTGCCCACCCGTGTTTCAGACATTGGTGAAACCATTGTGATTCAAATAGCGAAACATGCTAACAAATTTCGCCTTTTTAAAAATTGCAATGGGTGAGTCGCTGGACAGCTGTTCCACCTCTCAACTGCGTGTGCTCATTAGAGGTGTGGATGAAGACATGAACATAACACAAGAGCTGGCTTCCCTACATAACATGTATGGCACTTTTATCGGAGAGGATATATTCAATGAATTTAAAAAAACATTTGCTTGGATTGACCTGACAATTGATGGTCGAAAGTACATGAGTGGTGTAAAGAAAGGCTTTGTTGGACAAGCGAATGAGAGAAACATTCTACAACCAATGTTCCTGCACTGTATTATTCACCAGAAAGCTTTGTCTGCTAAATATATGGACATTAGCAGTGTACTGAATCATGTGGTGAAGATGGTGAGTTTAATAAGGTCACTTGGGCTCAACCATAGATAGTTCAGAGATATGTCGAAATTTACAAACACATAACCGTACGATTTACTATATTACACAGCAGTAAGATGACTAAGTTGTGAGAAAGTTCTTAGCAGATTATTGCCCATGGAAGACTTTTGCATCAAAAGTACCTTTCAAATTTTGGAACAACATTCCTGTGTGAACGAACATTTTCAAGAGTGAAATACGTGAAGAACAATTTGAAAGCAAACTTGGACCTCGAGTGTGTTGTCGGCCCCCAAAAGTGTTTCTTTCAAACTTTTTCTCAGGGGGGGGGGGGACACCTGAAATTTGTATATATTTCTATATAAATTATATTTCGTTGGGGGGGGCGTGGGTGGTAGACGTTCTTCGGGGGGGGGGAGGCTTGACCATCCCGTAGAGATGCCTGGAAGAAACTCTGGCCCCCGAACTGATCAAATATCAGTTAATGCGGCCCTCCGGTTGAAAAGTTTGGAGACCCCTGTTTTAGAACTACGTTTTGGGGAGGGGTGGGTGAGGGTAAATTTGGCTTCATCGTTTTGTGTTGCGCGGTCTGACTTGTTGCTTTCGTGACGATTGGGGGGGGGGGGGTGAGTTAAAATCGTGATGTCATCTATAAGGGGGGAAAAAGGTAAAGAATCCTCTTTAGACCTAGTGATCCGTTGGACAGATGAAGTAGAGTTTATGTGTTTCTTGACCTCGACATATGAAGGCAAGGTGTGGTCAGCACTTTGCACATCTATAAGACGTCCTCATTTGCAATGGCTGTAATAATTTATTTAATTAAAGTACCAACGTTGTGGGTTGTTTTTTTAAACAGTCCATGTTTAATAACTTGAATAAGAATATCACACGGTCATTCGATGTTTACGTACGCGATCAATTCAAGCAGTGGATCTATAGAGCTCTCTCTCCGGATCGACGGTGCCTCTCTAACTATCCCAGGGTGGATGGAGAGGATTAAAATAGCGCCAACAACAATGGCGATAAGCGTCGTGGACAAAACGTACGCCACCACACACACGCCAAATTTACCTGGAATGAAACATAAAAAAAAATAGTTTTTTTTAAAAATCTGATTATATATTTTTTAAAAAATATTGAAACATAATATAACGTGATACATTCAACAACAATGCTTGGCAATATTGTCTATAATTGGATTCAACTGTTTAGGGGTCGTCCATAAATGACGTCACACTCGTAGGGGGTCGGGGGGGGGGGGGGTCGGTAATTTTGTGACGATGTGTGTAGAGGGGGAGGGGGGTCAGATGGTGCGACGTCACACTTTTGCATTATAAAAGAGAAATGTTAGAAAACTAATTTTAGACGTTATTTCGCGTTTTAGAAAACTGTTTCATAAATTGTAATAGGAATTGATTAAAATAGTCTATTTTGACAGATTTCAGACAAGATTTTAGAAAAATATCGATGTTTAAAAAAAGTTCAACTGCAATTTTGAGGGGGATTGTAGGCTGAGGTAGAACGTCATTTTAGGGGGGGGGGGGTCTGGCTTTTTGTGACGACGTGTGACGGAGGGGAGAGGGGAGGTGAAAATCGTCAAAAAAAGCGTGACGTCATTTATGGATGACCCCTCACTATAAAAAATCATTTTTTACTAACGTATTGAAAAAATATTTACCGAAAAAGTGTGATCCAACATTAGCCGAACCGGAAATGACCCCGGAAATAAGAAGTGGCATTGTCAGAAGTCTGATGGAGTTGAGTGATAGACGGCCGAGATACTGATGATTCACAGAAATAAAAAGTTAATTAATGAGTTTTATTTCAAGATTTTTCTTGTAATTGAAATAAGAAGTAAGATGATAATTATTGAGAATTTTTATGTGTTTTATCCTCTATTTTGTTACTGAAACAGGTTTAGAAATAATTTTGTAAACATGTTTTTCTTTCTTGGAGATTAATGGCCCGATGAACACTTGACAGAACCCTCAATTCTAGGGTTCTAACAATATAAATGCTGTCTACTTTCACTTTCTCACTTCCTGTTTTGTTTTAAATCTCATGGCTAATTAAGTGTTAGTACTATTTAACTTCAGCTCAATAAAAATCGTGTAAATTTAGTTGTTGTTAACGATTTTGCTTCTTCTCACCATATAGGGGTATACAAATAACAAACCGACAACCGCTGTTCTCATTTAAACGTATCTTAACATTCACATTCATGTAGCCAGAATTCAAGTTATTTACGTGGCTTTAATAAATTTGGTAGCACAAAAAAAAAATCACTACTGCAACTTGTAGTGTTTACAAATGTAAGGCCCTTCATTTTCCTGCATGAATTCTTGCATTAAGTAAGTTACGTTTTTTTTACAATGAGATCGCGAGAAACTGGGTCATTTACGGTTGTGAAATACAGGGCCATCTGAACTTGTCAGAAACTGGGCCATCTACGGTTGTGAAATACAGGGCCATCTAAACTTGTCAGAAACTGGGCCATCTACGGTTGTGAAATACAGGGCCATCTGAACTTGTCAGAAACTGGGCCATCTACGGTTGTGAAATACAGGGCCACCTGAACTTGTCAGAAACTGGGCCATCTACGGCTGTGAAATACAGGGCCATCTGAACTTGTCAGAAAATGGGTCATCTGAGTAACAAAATCAAAAGACAAAACATGCCCACTTCAGTGTCTCAAAAAAAAAAAAAGATGATTCACTTATCAAACACTAATGTTTTGGGATGAATATCAGTGGTGCTTTCATACTTTGGCCCGCATTTCTATGTTGTTGATGTTATACCAGATAGCGGTATTCTTCTAAATTATTCAAATGTTTTGATCTTCAACTGCGCCGCTGAAAACTAGGTCTAAAGCCTAAGTTATTTTGACCGTGTCACATACATTAAATTAACTGTCCGTAACAATTTGTGTGTGTGTGAGAGAGAGGTCACTCATGCTACTATTGTATGTTGTATCGTGGAGTCTAGACATATATACAAGGGGAGAGTAGGTGTATGTAGAAGGCAAGGGTATTGACACATTTTCCAGGACTGCTTAGACTCTTAGACCGTAGAAAAAAAATGCGGGACACAAGATACATCCACCATTTAGCGCTACAACGACATACTGTGCAGAACTTGTTTGACCTTTTGGGCGATAATCAGGCCACGAAGAAAAGCCAAGGTAGCTGTATCTGTTAAGTTTTAACAACAGCGGTATTTAAAAGAAATAAAATTAATACCCACAGGACAATAATAGAAGAAGAAAAAACAACCTTTGAGTTATTTAAAAATTACGTTCCCCCTCCTTTGTAAGTATTTATTAATAAGCAACGTGCACACATATTTAAGTTTTTAAAATTAAAAATCTTACATACTTCCCCGGGGAATAAATTTAGGTTCATAAGCCTAGTACTTTTTTATGCTTTGTGTTTGACTTCAGTATTTCTCTAATTAAAATCCTTTATAATTCACATTCAGCATAATCACATTAATAGCAGCGTTACTTAATAAAAGTAATTTTAAACCCAGCGAATAAGCGGATATTTTCTTTAATCTCCATTGATCTATGTGATGGATACTCATTTTCTTTCCTTCTAGCTTAGAAATAATTCACCTTTGTTATGCAAGACAAAACTGAATATACTAATCAAATAAACTGTTTTCAGTTTGTTTATGTAAGATAAAACCGATAATAGTAATCAGTAATCAATTTAATGTAATTCGCTTTGATTTTGTGAGATGAAACTAATAATCCATTAAATTTATTTTTTCTTAAATATACTGGGGTCGTGACTAGGGGAACTTTAGAGAAAAACTGGGCGATACCCTACTGCAAAAAAAATATGGAGATGGGTTGGACACAACCAACTAGCAACATCACTCGACAGGCGCTTGATTGAAATCCCCCAAGGAAAAAGGTGGAAGTCGGTAGACCAAAACAAACTTGGAAAAAGTCAGCTGTAAGAGAAGCAGAAGCAGCCGGAATGACGTGGACCCCACTTGGAGGAATCGCCCAGAACCGTGTAAGATCAAGAGGAGTGGTTGCCTCCCTATGCTTCACAATGGGTTTACAGGAATGATGATGATGTTGTTTAGGGGTTTTTTCCTTGGGAGTTGAGTAGGAGTCTGGGGGTGTATGTCTAGGAGAGTTGAGTGGGGTGTTATTCAAGGGTGTTTGTCTTGGGAAGTGGAGTGGGGGTGTTGTTCAAGGGGTATTTGTCATAGAGATTTGTGATGGTTACGTCAAAGTTAACAGCTTCAAATATCGATTGTTTACCTCTTAGCAAAATGTCTTCAAATGCTCCTCCTCGCCCTATCTATCTACCACACTTTACCTACAAATTTACAGCTTAAAACATCTTCTGATAACCTAAAATTTTACCGTTCAAAATTCTCTTTTCCCCTCAAAGTAAAATATTTTCATATAAACCGCCCAACTTAGTTTAAAACATCTTCTGATTATCTCAGTTCGTAGGTTAAAAATCTCGTTTTTACCTCAAAGTAAAATATATTCATGTAAACCTCAATATTTACTTTAAAACTGTTTTGATAACCTTAAAGTTTACAGTTTAAAAAATCTCACTTTCACCTCAAAGTAAAATAAACCTCAAAGTTTACTTCAAAACTTCCATTGATATCTCAAACTTCACAGTTCAAAAATCTTATTTTTACCTCAAAGTAAAATATCTTCATGTAAACCTCAAAATTTAGTTCAAACTTCTGATAACCTTAAATTTTAGTTTTAAAAATCTCACTTTTATCTCAAAGTAAAATAAACCTCAAAGTTTACTTCAAAACTTATATCGATATCCCAAAGCTCACTGTTAAAAAATCTCCTTTTTACCTCAAAGTAGAATATCTTCATGTACTCCTCCTCCCCCCACCTGTTCCTCAGCCCGACGCCCAGCCCAGCGGCGATGAAAGCAGCCACAATGACCACCAGGACAAACAGGTTGTCCATGAAGACCTGAAACCCCCTGCTGTTTTCTGGGGCGACGGGCGCGGGCGTCGGCGCGGCGTTCTTGGGCTCCGTCCAAGATCTGAGCCGCCTAGCCATGGTGGAGAGAAGCTCCGGCATGGATGCTGGTGGTCACGTGATGTATGGTGGTCACGTGTCTTAGGACCTCGGTGTGTGTGGAGACCTGGTAGATAAACAAAAAACATGTTCCTTCAGTGTTATGTTTGTGTCTTTTAGAACTGGGTATATTTTGTTTTAGACTGCTGAAATTAGGGCGATGTAAAGCCGATTGGTAAAATTGGTATAGTTAATATTCCGGCATAAACTGAGCTTACTAGAAAATTGTAAAAAAAGAATAAATAAATATAAAGTTAGGACCGTTTTAGATAGGATGGTCTGTGGATGGAAAAGATAAAGTAGATTTAATCTGTTTCTCTTACTTCGTCATTTGAGTCGGATAGACTCAGGGGCGGCTTATGGACTAATTCATGGCTAGCTAATGGACATTCCATGGGTTCAGTCTAGATAATAGGTGTTCTATGGATTTATGTTACATAATGGACATTCTCTGGATTATGGCTAGATACTGAACATTCTATGAATCATGGACAGAGGCTAAATGGTTTTTTAATCAAGATAGTTGTGAGTCAATACTGAAATGGTGAATAATAGAGGTTTGAACTCGTGAAAACATGATTTTGATTAATGATCGTTATCGTAAAAGCTGGTATCAAGCACAGAGGAAAATAAAAACAAATTGAAATACTGAAATAAATGTAATATTTATAACAAAATAAAAAAAAGATTGAAGTACAGAACTATGATTGGACCTCCACTTGGTTAAACAGTTACAAAAATTGAAAAAATAAAAATAAATTAGGGTTATTAAAATCTATAAAAATGTAACAAAAACTATTAAAAAAACAGGTACGATTCTTCGCCGTATTAACAATTAAGAAAAACAAAAACAGTTTTTTTATAAAAAAAAAAGGTTTTTGGTTTAATTAATTAAAAACAAAACTTTAATACAAGGTAAGTTAGATTAAACATAAGATTTATTTTTATATTAAAAATTATTTCGTTTCAAAAAGTACATACCATCATCGCATCAATAAAAAATATTTCACTACCAACTAATAAATCCGATTTATGAATCTTTTGGTTTTTTTTTTACATTTAGTTCTAAATTAGAGCACCATTCACCACTTACATAACTAACAGAAACACCCTATCAAAAAAATTAAACAATATATTATTTTTTAACTGTTTTTATTCAAGCATTCTCTAAAACCGTTATCAACAACCCGTGTTGCTTTGATGAACACATCAACCAAAAAACAACAACGAGATCATCGCCAATTGAACAGCTTTGAACGCATAACGCTTGCACGCTAACATGGATTCGTTGGCGCCAGATGTTCAAGCTATATATATGCAAATCAATACAACACACTTCTTATTTAACTCACCATCAAACTTTGATATATGTGTACCAGGAAGCAACGTAATTATCTGCACGGTTATTAAAACGTTATGTCCATGTAATTACAATGATTTAATTTTTACAAATCTTCGTTAATTTGATCAATGCCAACAAATAAATATTGAGTATAAATTGATCAGAGCTAATCATATACTTCAAATCTTATTAAAGTACAGGCAATAAAAAAGATTTTTTAAATTAAAAACTACTGCGTTTTACTTTACTAGTAAGTTTTTCTATATTTAAACATACGATTTGAAAATCTCAAAGAGAAAACAATTTTAAAACACAAACACTAAAGTAGACATAATAAAGACGTTTTAAGCAGGTCTTTATTTGAAACTTTTAATTTAGAAACAAACAATATAACACTATGCTGAAGAAGTCTTTTAAGTGTCGGCCTTATAATAAAGTCCTTTGAGCAGCTAGCTGATGGTAAACATATACAATGTTAGTATCGATACCGTGTATCGATTTCTACAGAAGTGCTAATCAATGATTTATCATAAAAGACAATATAAGGGCGCCAACTACACATAAAATATGGCGCTCGTGAAAAACAAACGTAAAAAACAAACCGGGAGTGATCTCCCCAAAACTTTCTCGAATATTCTTATATAAAATAACAGGGGATGGGAACTCGGGCTATAGGCTTGATTTTTAATCCATTTTAAATACTTAAAGTTTTAAAAATAGAATAAAATCTCGTAGACAAAAAAAATGCACACCAAGTGAACGCTAAATAAAAAAAAGTGCATAATAGTGCGCAATATTATTAGTACTTTAAAAATTTACATTAGTTTTTTTAGAAATCGGAAGTAGCGTAAATTAGTACTTCCGGTGAACGAAAATTACTCAAAATTTGACAGAAAGTAGAGAATTACATCTTTTACTTACATGTGAAATTGCATTTATCTATCTGAAATAGTACTCAAGTTATAGGCTTTTGAAAAATTCAAAGTAGAAAAAGTACCACTTCCGGTTATCGGAAATCGCTCAAAAGTTGATCAGGATCTACGATTTTGATAAAATACTTATATATGAAATTTCATCAACCTAGCTGTAACGGTACTCAAGTTATCATGTTTACACACGGACAGACAGACAGACAGACACACACACAGACATACGGACAAGATTGCAAAATTATGTTTTTCCGTATCAGTGATTTTTTTTTTGCACGATTACAAGACTTTCTCTATACTTCGTATATACGAGAAAGTAAAAATCAATGTGTCTGAACGCGTTGGCTCGTTACTACCTCGTAGTTGTCTTGTCATTTTTCTGTTTTTCAGGAGCTATCGGAAGGTGGGGGGGGGGGGGGGGGGGCGCAACCGTGTCGCTCTAAAGGTAGGTTGGTAGGGGTGGATAATCAGTGTTTTTTTCCAGACTTGATATTTCCTGGGGGGGGGGGGTTACATTTTCCGGGGGGCGGACACTGGTAACAGTATGTTTTCTATATAAATTCCCTCTCGTTCGGGGTGGGGGGGGGGGAGGGGGGGGCGCACCCCCGAAGAAAACCTACCCCCCTCCCACTCCGAAGAGTTGCCTAGAAGAAACTCTGTGGATAATAATTGTTACTTTAATAAGGATTCCAAAATCCAGTGTCTTTACAAATATAGATAAATTAAGCAACAAGTCAACAAAATAAGGAGTCCGCCGGGGCACAGAGAAGTATAGCTGCGTCTGATGTGTATAGTGGCCTTACTTTTTAGCCACTGGTTCCGCCTAGCAATTGTTTCTATACCGTCAAGCTTAGACCTAAGCGGTGACCACCAGGGGGGGGGGGGGGCTAAAACAAGTTGAGAACATCGAACTAAAGCACCCTGTAAAAGTGATGAGACCGGCATCTTCTCGACTAGTTAGCCCAGGGGTCGGCAACCTGCGGCTCGTGAGCCGCATGCGGTTCTTTTTATATCAAGATGCGGCTCTCCAGCTCCTTGAACAAATACTAATAATCTTAATAAAAAAATAAAATATTTGAAATAAAAAAAATGTTTTGAAAATTTTAACTTTTGGCTCTTCCGCTTCAAAAGGTTACCGACCCCTGAGTTCGCCGGAAGTTGCTGATGTTTCGGTCCGCGTGGCTAACGGAGAGCTTAGCTCTCTGGTCCGGTACATGTTGGAATGTTTTATAGTAGTCCATACCTACCGTCTCGCGCCAGAAGAGTACAAGCCTACAATTAAGTAAATTATAATCCAAAGTTGTTTGTAATGTTTAAACAGATAAGATCTAATTCCGCAGAAACAAAAAGTATCCTCCGATTTGAAGAAGTAAAACTGTATCCAATATAAGTTTAAAAACACATTTATTGAATATATCTCTCATATTTATCGTGGGCGCATTTTTTTTTATGCATCAATGATTTTATTGCATTTAAGTATATTATCGAAAATTGGATTTTATCTAATTTGAAGCAACTATTATTTTTTCGCGTTTCATTTCGAAAAAAAAATGAAAAAAAAAAGTTAATAAATGCTCCTATAATATTAAATATTACACCGTAAGATTATCATTGCTTAAAACAAAAATTGACTTGTGAGATCAAATTTGTGGTAAAATCAAATTCCATGTCTAAACCACTTAAGAGAAACCATCACATACACTTTAGGTCGTAGAGTTTCAGGTATCTGAGTTTCTCTAGAGTCTACGAGAACAGCCAAAACTCTTGTTGGTGCCTGAATGTGGTTCATCCTGTTTATAAAGGCGAAACAAGTTTTTCGCTTCTAGTGTAACACGCGTGAAAGGTCATGTGAGCCTCGTTCATGGTGACTAGAGTAGAAAGGGGACACAACTCGGATAGAGGTGAACTTACAATTATAGTTTTTGGGATACCCAGTGACAATGGTTGTATATATGTTGGATGTTAAATTTAGATTTATTTTATACAGACTTGTGAGTCATCGTGATTCCTCTATGACTCAGAAGTTATTTTTTTCAGGTTTTCTTTTATTTTTAAGTTTGTGATTCATGGCGAAATCTTTCTGACTCAGTCTATGTCTATTGAAGATTTGGGTTAGTTATAAATGGTTTCTTACTTTAAAAAACATGAATCGGCTATTTAATTTTACTACAGACTTTTGATATTTGAATAGGTTAAAGTAGTCTAATTCAGTATGATTTGAGGTGTCAGGACAAATGATCTCACGGAGAAATATCCAGAACAAAATACCTCAGACAAAAAAATTTCAAGACAAATTAACTAATGACATAATAATTCAGACAAAACAACTTATGTAACCGAAGATGCTAATGAATCTAATCACCCCAACAGAAAACAGCATTTAGTGAGTGTAGCTCTCAATTTTTATTCTCAACGGCTGTTTCAATTGTGGAAACAGCGATGTTCATTACGTCGAAACAGATGAGTAGTCAAAATCAAAGTCATTTCGCTTTCTTCAAATATTTTATACACAGTGCCATGCAAATGTATAATACATCTGTACCGTTGATTAATTGTACCCGCACTAAATAGTTTTATTATTTCAACACTATCCTTGTTTTGAAATCGGAGACCAAGAAATCTAGGCAATTTTACTGATTTATAAAGTTTATGATTTCAGTGCAAAATTTGTTTTGAACAGCCATAGTAACCATGGACGCCGATAGAAAACAACTAATAAAAACTTTAATAAACGTTCACATAAATGTTTTTGTCGGTTAGGAAAATGTCGAAAATAATAATAATATATTTTTTAAC